CTCCCTCCGTTTCAAAATGTAAGTTGTTTTGGAGGTTTTTTTTGTTTCAAAATGTAAGTTGTTTTGATAATTCTAAGGACTTTTTAACTTTATTGAATATTGTGTGACCACTAGTATTTTGTAGTCTTTTGTGTGATTGGTCAAATTATTTTTAATAAATATATTAAATGATATTTTTAATAGAAAAGTAGTTTTCTAATATCCGCGCTTTTAGCTAAAACAACCTAAAAACAGAGGGAGTATATATTAAGGCAACAACTTCTTTGGGCCTAACCCTAGCTAAACCCATGCTTTTTATCTTTCTGTAAAACATCAGGCCCATCAAACCCTTTCGATTGTGGGCTGGTCAAACATAGCATGCTTTGGTCTGTTTGCTCCTTACCCTCTGTTTGCTCCTTACCCTCTCACTCACTGTTTATTGAAATCTTGTTAGAGTTTTGAGTGTCTCAAGTAATACCACGACATTTATTGTTATTTTGGTACTAGAAATTTACATTTATTTGCTTAATCATGAATAAGTTATGTGAAAGAACATGTGCAACAGGTTCTGTTTGAGTCACTCAACAAAGATGAAAAGTTATGATCTGAACCACAAAGTCACTGAGCTGAAGCTTAAAACTGGAAAGTAGAAGGAAAAGTCAAACTGCTGACGTGGCACCTTGAACCAAACAAACAGGCAAATGGATGTGAACAATTGGAGCAGATGGGAGAGCCTGCAAGATATAAAGTGGAGGTTACTCAAGCCTACAAGAAGCTTTGGAAAGTGTGCAGGGTAAAAGATGGAGGCTACAAAAGTCATCATCAGATGCATGGTGGACTTGTCCTTTGGAGAAGGTGTGTCAGGCGCGTGACATTATAGCTGTCAGCTCTACTGTAGCAATGTGTGAGAAACCATAAAAGAGAAACTTAGGCTTTCTTTTCTGGTTAGCCTTTCAAAGAGAAAAAAGTTCTTGTTGAACTCAGAGATTTGAGAGTGATCATAATCTAGTGAGTGAAAAAATAGACATCAGCGATTGCTGGTGGAAAGTCTGGGTAGATTAAGGATATCATTACGAGAAAATCACTTGTGTGTGATGTTGCGTAACTCTTATCAGAATAGGTTGTAGAATCTATTCTACATTATTGGTGGTGGCAAGTCTTTTGTAGAACCTCAAACTGAAAAAATATGTTTTTTCAAAGGTAGCAGTAACACTTTTGCTTTGCATCAAAAGTCTTTACCCACTCAGGGTATTACTCAGAGAAGCCTGAAGAAGGATAGTCTGAAAGCCTTGCCTGCAACGAATATTACTCAAAGAATCCTGAAGAAGGATAGTCCGAAAGTCTTGCATGCAACGAATACTGCTCTGAGAAACTTGAAGAAAGATGTTCTGAAAGTCTTATCTGCAACGAGTACTGCTCAACGAGTCCAGAAGAAAGACTTTCAGTCTTCAAATTCCAAGAATTTTGGTGCTTGGTCTAGGAAGTTCTGCAACGCTTCAAAGAGAAGAGAAGCTTCAGTTGTTGTGGAAACTGAACAGGTGTTGGGCAGATGCTTCAAGCTTGGTTCATTCTGGGTGCTCAAAACGGATCTGTAGGGAGATATGTCTCATGAAAGAGAATAGATCAACTACTTGGATCTGTAAAACGAACTAAGTGATGTTGGTCTCCTGAGCTTTGCTTCAGTGGAATGTGGGAAGGATGATTTACTCGAGGATATTGCTTACACAGCTGTAACTTCAAGTGAGAATCGTGTA